TCCCTCTGCTGGTCATGTTGGTGGTGACCCTCGGAAATTCTCCCTCTTCAGCCACCGTTCTTCTTCGTCAAAAACGCCTAGGCCATGGTTTTGGCGTTTCAGTACTAAGTCTTTCAAAAACTGAAACTCTTTCGGGGACCGCATTGATGCAGCTGCATTCAGATAATACTGCCCGAATGAGTTTGGAACAGGGGCACTGAGTTTCCTGTTCTCGGGGACTCCTCTTCCTGGTTTTATTCGTACCCCCAGCACGATAGTACAACTCGTCTGCTTGACGATCGGAGTAACCTACCGTGTGTTGACACGACTTCTCAGTTATAACATTATTGTCATCAGATGATAATGTTTCCTTCTGAGGGTGAACTACCTTCTTTGGGCTTTTGAAAGTCACGCGCCTCGTAACATGTCTTTTTGGGCGTGAGTTCTCGGCGGGCTCCTGGACTTCAATGCGCAAGTTGGTGCGCGCAGCTGCCCTGGTCTCTTTGTCATGTTGAGGGTAACCGCGACCCCCAGCATGTTGCGTCGTCCGGGGTTTCTTCATTGGGCCCAAACGCTCTTGAACTGGAGCTTTGACTCGCTCATCGGGAAGCGGACCGAGACGCTCCAAAACTGGCTTCTTCTTTCGGGATGACTCTGCATGATCTACCGTAGAAGCTATTGGGATTACCGGCAACAACTTTGGTTGGAGCCTGCTTCGGCCTCCACACTTGGTGGGTTGATGGCGGCTTTTTGGCCACTTTTTCTTTCTTCAATTCCTCGGCCTTCTGCACAAGGATTTTTGCTTGTGCAAGCAGTGCGCGGCGTTTGTGAATCCGCTCTTCGAGTGTCGAACGGTTCCGTTTGACCCGGATCCATTCGTTCGTCGGCGGCTTGGAGGAACCGCCATTCTTCAGTTGTTGAGGCTGTTTGCCTCTCCTATTCGTCAGATCCGCGTTGTAGCGGACTCCGTCCGTAGACTCCATCGCCTTAGCGAGTTGTCGCGCAAGGCGCTGACGTCGCCTCTGGCGGGCTCTCTTTGAGAGAGTCACAACGCCCTCAACAGTAGAAGCGTTGACAAGAATAGGTTTGACCTCGTTGGAGGTCGGTGGAACTTCACCTGACGCAACTTTGGCGTCAGCTGGGGTGAGAGCGNNNTGTTCGCGGTGAAAATTGCCTTCATTGAATTCATTGTTATCTCAAGTAATTGCTTTTTGGGTTACAAAAGATCCGGTTTTTTTAGATCCGGTTACAACGAAATCAAAGAAAAAAGAAAAAGATTACAACTTTCTCCTTATCTTGTGAACAAATCGCGAGCTCCTGTTTTGCGGTCGCTCGCTTGTGTGGGTTCTTTGCCAACGCCGGGGTTAATCCGTGGACCACCGCGCGATCTAGATCCGGTCGTATCTACACGATTTGACGGGTATTATTTCGCGAAGGAAATAATAGCCGGGGGGGGATTAATTCACCAAGGAAATAATCGCCCTTAGTTCTCGGGATCAAAGGCCAAGCTTTGATCCGGAGTATGATCTCGTGTAGATCTCAGATCTGATCTTTCTCTCTCTCGAACTCCTGCCTTTTGTGACGTGGATGCTCGCCGAGAATCAGATCTGAATGTTCAAGTCCTCAAGTCTTCAAAACTCCAAGCTCGATCTTCAATTCAACAGAGTTTTGGCTCTCAAAGTTCCAACCTTTTCAAATGAACCAAGGGGGGCCTATTTATAGGCTCTCTGAACTGTGCCCGCGCACAGATCTGGGTCGGCCACCTATGGGTGGCCGGCACTGGCGGGTCGGCCACCTATGGGTGGCCGGGCCTTGGCCGAGCCACCCATGGGTGGCTCGGCTTTGGCCGAGCCCCCCTTAGGCGTTGGGTTTCGTCGTTTTGTGTTTTCGGTTCAATCCGTGATTCGGTTGACTTAGACTCTGATTTGTTGATCTGATTTGGCAGTAAATCCAATTCCTGATTTGGCAGTAAATCCGATTCTTGATTTGGCAGTAAATCCACTTCTAAGTTCGAGTCCGAAACTGATCTTGATTCGATCGTGATTCGTCCGAGTCTGCCCTTGGTTGGATGACTCGTTGACTCTTCGAACATTTGGCTTGATTCTACACGCGAATGGATGTATTCCGTTGCTTGCGTGCGATTCGTCAACCTCGTCGCCTCGTTGGTTCGTCGGTTTGTGCCGAGCTGAGCTAAGGGACCTATAAGCAATTTTATATGCCTACAAGTGTGGATTATGAGAGTCTAGTGTCCCTCAATCTTCTTTGATGGTTGATTATTGAGTAGATGGTTCGATCCCACACACAAACAATATGTAAAAGGATCAGAGTTGGGTTCTCATGGGGTTCCTCTGACAATCAAGTAAGTATTAATCTTAAGTGGAGGAAAAAAGTATGACTATTTTGTGTTATATTGTAAAAAATTGCATACCTTAATGCAGTAGGCAATGTGTCTATTTATTGCAGACCCAGAAGGGCAGTTGTGTAACTTCTTTCAAGTTCGAGCAGTTAGCTTATTCAATTGATATTTTACAGGTGTCGGCAATGGGTGATATGAGTCACATTTGTGATTAATGCGATGGTGATAGAGGGAATAAGGTGCTAACAAGGTACAATGAGTCAGTAAGACTTTCAGCGGGGTGTAATGATGACTCCAACTGTGCATTTAATATGATGGTGACCGGCTATCACCGATAGGTCAAGAAAGACCACCTTTCGTCTCGTCTTTTTAGGGGGCTAAGAAATGATGCCTTTTGACTTGGCTGCTCGAATGAGGGTGGCTCGTGACTCGATCTACCGAGGGATAATGCACTGAGTTTCAGCAGTAGGGCCCGAGTGAGGATGCCTTTTGACTCAGCCCTCTTAGGAGGGTCTGAGTGAATACGTCCATTGAACCGACCTTCATGATGTCGGTTCGAGTTGGCATACAGTTTATTTGAGACATGTGTCATCACCTAGAATGGGATTAACACATATCCATTTCTTTGGTATAACAACAAGGTATCACTTTATTTGGGAGTGCATTGCGAAGAAGGTAGTTGAGGTGCAGTATGTGAAGACCATGGATCAAGTCACTAATATTTTCACAAAGCCCCTTAAGTATGATAGATTTTAGAGACTGTGATATATGCTTGGAGTCTATGAACGTTCAAGTTTACAAGGGAGTGGTGGATACTAAACTTGTAGTTTATGTCTAAATAAAAAATTCGAGGAGACTTTTGACTGGGTTATTCTTCACCAAGTTAAGTGAATGAGGATTCATTGGAAATTTCTCTTTGTCTAGTTTTCATAATTTTAAACCGTTTGTGATTTGGATTTTTTAAGGAGAGAGTTATTTGTATCTAAGTGGACTGTTTAATTTACCCTAATATCAAGACTCATGAACTTAATTATTGCATATGCTGTATTTGATATGAATAAACTTTCATGTAAAATGCATTAAGTCTAGAGTGTTATTTCGAGTAGTATAAATATCCATGTAATCAACAAGTTTTTTCAAGTCATTTGAATAAAAATAAAATCCTCTTAGTGACTTGCTCTTCCAATTTTATCTTTGTTTGTTCGAGTTTGTGAGAGTGTCCACCACCTTCCAATAGTTAAATTGTGATATGAACCTACAACTTAGTGATTTCAAAGGAAACATTCTATTCAACTTTGCAAAAATTTAATAAGTCACAGTTGATAATTAGTGGCACTTTTCATTCATATTATTGACAGCATTTGTGTTTCTAAAACTTTATTTCACTTCCTATATTTGGAAAAAGAAATATATGTACAATCATGAACTTTGAATGAAGCCAAAGGCTAAAAAGACCATGAAGGATAATGAAATAATCATTAAGTTAAAAAAAAGAAGTAACAACACTATAGAGAAAAATTAATCGACTGTAAAAATTAACAGAAAACCAAGGAAAACATGCGTGCTTAGTTAATTATCCATTTGAAATAGTTGGGCCTCTACACCAAGTAAATTAAGGCCATATTTTACAAATGTATCCCGTCAATGGAAAATGATTTGGAAATACATAGGCTCACATAAAGTACCAAAAACATATCAAACGTCTCAATTATTTCATTTAGAGTATAGAAGTAAGTGATGCTTATAAAAACTTTTTTACGCTGTTAGATATTCTAGTCAATTATTTATAGTATTAGAAGAATTAAAAACATACTAAGTACTTTCAGACTTACAACCATCAAGTTCATAACTTTGCAAAATAGGGAATAATCACTCTAATTCTTAGTACTAATTGAAGAGTAAATAACTACCATGCTTTAATCTTAGTTTGCATTTTCATAAAAAAAAACACGAGAAGTATAAGAACCAGCAAACCTTCCCATCTGCGCGCGCAATGAAGACTGAATTAATTACCAACCAAGCTAAGTACAACACCTTGATTGTTTTTGTTCTTAAAGTGATACATGGGCACCAAGCAAATTATAACAAAAAAAATGTAATCATGCAAGATTGAAACTGATTTACTATCATTATATGGAACACGAAACTGGTAACCCAACAGTCCTCATTGCTACGACAATTTTGATTTAATGATCATAACAACGTAGTATTTTCTGATTAGTAATGGATCACTAAAACTGAAATGGTTATTTAGTTAGAAGAACCAAATTAAGGGCTAAAACCTTATTTCATGGCTAAGCTTATCTACAATTTTCTAAAAGGCCTTGAGACAAGTACTTGAAAGATCTCACTCCAATGCCTTAATCGACATGGTCAGATCTAAAGTACTCAACCCCGGAGCGGCCTTATCGTTGCTACCTTTCTCTAAGAACAGGAGTTCTTGTGATTTTCTTGAAAATGGATTTGGGGGGGACAGTGAAAGCGAGAGCACGCTATTGACTTCTTGATCAGCCTCGACGCATTTCTTCACATTACCTCCGTCTTCCATTGAACTTGGAGGGCTCAATACTAAGTTCAAGTTTGGAGTCCATTTACAGTACTCTTCCATCCTCATCTTCTTCATGCCAGGTTGGGTCTCTCTTCTGACGAGTATTTCATCAAATTCCGTCTTTGGAAAAAAGAAAAAAATTAGCTGTCAATGTTAAAATCTGACATTGCTAATACTATTGATAATTTAACAATGCCACTAACATACAACTATACCTATACGGCAAATACTTTTCGAGTACCTCATATAAGATTTCTCGTGTGAAATTTTGAATTCTGGAGGAACCTTTATAAATGTCACTATTCATCATTCATGTTAGCATTTATTTTTCCCAAACAAATATGATAGCTAAGGGTTGATAATTACATATTATTGAATGAAATATATTGTTACCCAAAAAGCCACAAGTATAAGCTTTGGATGCAAATAGTAATCAAAATATTAGATTTTTTATTAATTGAACTTTTAAGTCACACACAGGAGAATCGAACCCAGGCCCCCCCTACGAGGGAGGGGCAGACTTTGCCATGTGATCTACTAGAGAGCTAGTAAACTATGAACCTCACCTCACTGCCTATATATAATTATGGCTTTTCCTCTCATTTATTAATCCTTTCCAATTAAGGCATCTTGATTGATTTAGTTCTCAAAGTTTTAGAAAACATACCTCAAATGTAAATGGCATCTCAAATTGATGTTGAAGAGCATCATTGATAACTATCGGGTCATTTGAGCTTGAATGAATCTTTGTATTGTTGTTGTAGTTCCCTCTTTCTTGCCATCTTAAAGAACCAGTTACCACAGACAAATTTCGAGGAGCATTCTTGGAGAAAGCTCTAGATCTAACGTCAATCCAATCAAGAACTCCATTTCTCTTTCCAATTATACTTCCAATCTGCCATCTCATTTCTTGGTCATGATGAAATGGCCCATTAGGCGATATCGAGTTCCTGCTACCAGTAATTGCATCTCTAACACTGAAAAGATGCGATGTCGATAATTTCCCTTGATCTTTAATCGAACAAATTCTTGCCAATTCTTGGTGTCTACAGGAGAAACAAGTCATAAAAATGGTTATACAGTGATTAGGGTTTGTAATCTTTAAGGTTTAAGTGACATTGGTTGCAGTACCTGAAGGGGTTTTTGATGAAATCTAATGGTTGATGGATAGGCTGAGATTGCTGCAAAAGGCTATAATATTGATCAGAATAATGAATATTGCTCCTTGCAGGAAAAAGGCCTCTATTTTCGGAAACTCCTCCGCCATAGAGCACATTGTTGTAATTATGATCTCCTCTTCCCTTGTAATTATGGATTGAAAATAATGCTGAAAAGGAAAAAGCTATCGTTAATTAGCTTTTTCCCATTAGCAAAGAACAAAGAGTAAATGTAAACTGTAATTATATTTCGTAGCAATCGATTAATAAACTAGCATTCACAAATTTTATCACTAAACTGTTTAACAAATTCCATCTACGAGAGAACTATTATGTAATACCTTATATTTTGATAAATAATGATGAGTTCTAGGTTATATAAACATTTTTGTGTTATTATCTAATTAGAAACAAATTTTAATAGAAGTGTTAATTTGATGCTAAGAATTAAAGAACAGATCAAACCAGAAGAAATAGCTGATCTCTCTTGCCCCGAATCATCTAGCTTCTTGCTTCGATACAACTGATAGTTATATAGATCATAGGAGAAAAAATTAGGGCAACGGCATAAAAATGATATAAATCAAGAAATAAAGAAAGAAAAGGCCTATGGTAAGAAGAAGAAGAAGAAGAAGAAGAAGAAAACGGTCTATGAGATGTATCAATGGAAATTATAACCCATTTCCAGTATATTAACCATTAAGTTTCCTCTCTTAAAATTAAACAAAATAGATTTTTGCATATTTGTTATCTTTTCTTTTACCTGCAAGTGACTCTTTACATGACCAATAGAAAGCCCCCTCACATTCATCAGCTCAAGTACTAATTTTGGTGTGGCTCCTGTACCATTCAAAAAGAACTACAATAACAAAATCAAACAAACCCAGCATATTCATACAAACAGAAACAAGATAATTTTCAAATTAAGCAAACAAATTTGATTAATTGTAGAAATTAAACTATTATTACTTTCTTGGCCACCAAGCCTTTCCACTGCATGAACAAAAGAACTATGGAGCTCAGGAGTCCATCTCAATCGTGGCATCTTAGACCTGATATACTGCCTCACTGTCGGAGCACTCCCTTCGTCTACTCCGCTCTTTTTGTTGTTGCAGTTCAAGTTGTTATTTGTACTACTTGAGCTAGTATTACCCTCATCATCACCATCATCATCATGATATTTTTCTCCTTCTTCATTTAGATCTAGAGTCAGTGACTGACTCCCTTTTTCCTCGCCATCTTCACAGATCTTCATCACCTCCTTCCCCTTCTCCTCTCCCATATCCCTCTTGAGAGCTCTCTCTCTCTCTCTCTCTCTCTCTCTCTCTCTCCCCTCTCTGTTGGTATTTTCCCTTTACTATTCAAGGGTAGAATAGTTTAAGATGTGAAAGAAGGAGAGGAAACAAGATGAGAACATATTAATCTTATTGTTAATAGTATTATATGTAGGTGTAGGTTGAACTGAAGGTGGTGGAAATTATTATATAGATGACGATGACATATATATTTAAATTAGGTAGAGACATGAACGAGTATTCCCTACATTGACTGTTGTTTTATTTTATATTAATAATTGCTTAATTTCTATGTTGTGAAAGGGAAGGGGAAAAAAGAATAGTTTAAGGGAGGCAAAGGAAGATGGTGGTTTGTTGTAACCATGGAAAACTAAATGTACACCAATTTTTGGTAAGACGAGATATAACCGTAGACATTTCGCTTTTGTGAGAGCAAAGGTTTTCAGTTTCTGCCATACCTGCAGCAGGTTTATTCTTATAGCCATCGCTTCTATAAGCTTAACTGACTCCTTTTGGACCTTCATTAAGTACAAGCTCACTCATTAATGATTAATTAAGACATGGGAAAAAACAAAAATATTCTTTCATGTATATCTTTAATGAATTTTATGTCTTTCAAAATTTGTTCTACACAATTGAGGGACATGATTATCCTCAATATTTTGTAGTACTCCACGTGGACCAAGAGAAAATAGTGCAGATCTGACCAAACTATCAATAGCATATGGAAGCAAATATCAGATAAAGTTCCACGTATCACTTTTTCTTTTTTTGGTAAATGAACTTTGTTTCATAACCAGTCTGAAAGTTATGTATACATACTATCTTGGGCATGCCTAAGAATACAACTCAAACAACTATAAGTTCTCTATACAATAGCAACCATTGAGGAGAATATTAGAACATTATTGGGGTAGAATGTTGTTCGTGCAATATCTTTTGTTTAATTAATAACAAACTCTCATTTGCTATTGATATATTATGAGATGATATGTTTCAAGAATAAATAGGTACGAGTAAGTTTCCATTCAAAACGATGCAAAAGTCAAATTGCAAGTCAAACAACTATAAGTTCTCTATACAATAGCAACCATTGAGGAGAATATTAGAACATTATTGGGGTAGAATGTTGTTCGTGCAATATCTTTTGTTTAATTAATAACAAACTCTCATTTGCTATTGATATATTATGAGATGATATATTTCAATAATAAATAGGTACGAGTAAGTTTCCATTCAAAACGATGCAAAAGTCAATTCAAATGTTGATTTCAGCCTTTGAACCATCGATGGTCAGAAGGCACCATCAATGGTCAAGTCAAGTTAATTCAAGTTATCGATAGACATGAGGAAAGAATCAGAGAAATAGAAATTAGAAATTAGAAATTAGACCATCGATGGTCTAATATCTACTATCGATAATCTCAAGGACTATCAATGGACTATAGCCATCAATCGTGGAAATCCAGAAATCAGAATTTCCACAATTGATGGACTATAGTCAACCATCGATAATCATCAATGGACCGTGATCTACCATCTATGGTTGAAAAGAGTTTTGGCAAATTTCAAGTTTTAATCTCAGTCGTTCGTCGACTCTGATTAGAGTATCTCTTTCCTATGCTATCAAGGACTATTTAAAGGAGAATTGAGAAAGAGAATAATAACAGTAGGCAATTGAATAAAAAGAGAGGTCTAATTCTAGGATTTACGAGAGAGATTGATTTGAAAATTCAACTCCCGGAGCCTCGTTGAACTTCTTCTCATCGCACTCATCATTGAAGAATTATTTCAGCAAGGAGAAATGCCCTGTACATTTGACTTCAATATCTCTTCATCACGGATCTTCATCGTCATCAGTTTGAAGGGCGGTTCGTTAAAAGGGCTATAAGATATTTCTAGTTGTGCTTTGAATTCTTTTGGGTTGGTTTTGTGTTCCAAAGTTGTAACTTTGACGATGTATTCAAGCCGGATAATTGAGGGTTGGTATACTCAATCTAGGTTAATTGAGGGTGTGGCTAGCTAGGGCTATATTTCTTCTGGCCATTGTGAAGAGTAAGGTTGGACAACTGGTTTCAGGTAGATTTCAGGATGTGGTCTTTAAAGCCTACTGAATTGAGTTGTGATTCAGATGAACTCTGGTCATAGTAAGGAGTGCCCTTCATGAGAAGAAAGAGTACATAGATTTTGATTTGAACCAGTATAAAAATCTCGTGTATTCCTGTGTTAATTTGCTTTTAGTTTTTACTTATTATATTTTTGCTGCTTATACTAAGTTAGTCAAAAAATTATAGCAATCCTATTCACCATTTTTATGCTTGTATCCCAGTTCTAACGAGTGGTATCAGAGCCTCATTACCCATATTTAGGTACTACGACCTAGGATTGAGATGTCAAGCCTCACCACCACTTCAACCTTTCTTAAAGGACACGCGATGAACCATTTCCCACTTTTTGACAACACCACTTGTACTTTTATAAAAGTATGCATGAAATTAACTTTATTATCTACTAACTTTTATATTTGCCATGTGTCGAACACGGGTATCATAATCCTATTGAGGAGACAAGAGGATTTGTTACTAAAATTCATATTGTTAAATGAACCCCTCAATACAAAAAGATTTTTCCTTATAATTTGAAATCTATAAATGCTTCATATTTCTCCTTTGTTGCTAAAAAATTTAATCACATCTCTAATTGTACTACTATGCAGAAAATTCGAAAGACTCTAGAAGTTACTCATGAGGGAACTTCGTAGGTAAAGGAGGTAAGGCTTACAATGCTGGTGAGCAAATATGAAAACTTCAAGATGAAGGCATTGGAAAGCATACATGAGATGTTCACATGATTTAGTGATATTGTAAATCAGTCTAAAGCTTTAGGGAAGGAGTACGACAATAAGGAAATGTACAAAAAAAAAAAACTTCGTACTCTATCCCGTAAGTGGGAACCAAAGGTAATGGCAATAAAAAACTTTAGAATTTTTCTAATCTATCTCTTAATGATCTTGTAGATAATCTTGTCATATATGAAGTCATGTTGAAAATGAGAGAAGATGCCTTAGAAGGAGATTCAAAGAAGAAGTCGTTAGCCTTATGAACAAAGAAGGAGAAATCCCGATCAAAGAAGAAGATGTAGTCACACTCAAGTTCAGAAGATGAAGATGATCAGTCTGCACTTATAACAAAAGGATTCAAGACTTTCTTAAGTCAAAAAAAGTAGTAAATAATAATTCATCAAGTGATATTGAAACTAAACCTATTTGTTATCATTGTAGGAAATCAGGTCATCACAAGAATCAATACCCTTTGAACAGAAAGGAAAAGAAGAAAGGGGACAAAAGTCTCAAAGTTACAACCTGGGATATGATAGATGAGGATGAATCTAGAGATGAGTTGAGTGAAGAAGACAAACAAGTGTACAAGTGTCTTATGGGAAGAGGGGCATTGTTTTCATATTTAGACCAGAGTAACTCAAGTGATTCTGATGGTGAGTATTTAGATAAAGAGATATATCCTTCTTATGATGAGTTTTATTTTAAGTATAAGGAGATGTTAATTCATTTAAAAAAAATAAGTCAAATATATGAAGAAACTGAAACGATGAATACAAACATGAAGAAAAAAATAAAGTTTCGTCAAAGAAAGTTAAATATTTCTCTTTAAATTTGAATTCAGTTGATTCAACCTCTTTTGAATGAACACAATGTTTTGAGATACTAAGTCAAATTTCTTGTTTATTTAAACAACTTGAAAATAATCAATGTGAAAAAGAAAAAAATATTGCTAAGATAAATGAGTTATATTATAATTTGTCATTGGGACAAATTAAGTTTGAAACTCGATGTACTACAATAGTTATCAAAAATGAACAACTAAAGTTCAAAATTAGTGAATTGAAAAGGGCCATGACGAATTTTTTGTTGTGGGTACAAAAGGTCTTAACATTGTCCTTTCTAATCAACAATTTGCAAAAGCTAAAATTGAACTTGGTTATTCATATTTTGGAAAGCATAAACACTTTCAACATTCTTTTGTAAAGGATAAGCATTTTGGTTGTTTTGATCTTATTCCCAATGGAACTTATCATTCCATATGTTCATTATGTGAAAAAACTAGACATATTTCAATATGTTGTTGTATGAAGTATAGGATTAAAATAGCAAACAGATACGGATACCAAAAAGCCTTATTACTAACCAACATGGGCCTATGTGGATAGCTAGTCAATATTATCTACCTTTATGTAGACTTGCAGGTCGACCAGGGATAGAGACGACACACCGCAATTGCTTAAAGATTTAGGTTATCAAATCCAATCACTTGTCTATATTATTAGGAGATACATGTTTGATAAATTTTTATATATTACCTCCTCATACAAGTAATTCTCTTAAGGGAGTTTTTTTTTGAAAAAGACATTTTTTGCTAAATAATTAGCAAAACTGACCGTTTTGCTAATTTTTTAGCAAAAACGATATTTTTTTGCCAACAGACCAAAAATAGGTTGATTTTAAAAACTGGTTACTCAAAACATACGAGACTACTAGTCCCGTATGTTTAGTGGCTATTATTCCGCCTCTAAACCAATCCACCCCTAACTGTAAAACCCCATCAAATGTATCTTCTTTATGTCCTCCCCTCAAACACCCTCTCAATCTCCCCTTTCCACCGCCTTCACGCCCTTGAGTCCCTCCTCTCCTCCGCCATCTCCGCCGCCAGCGACCTCCCCCAAATCAAGAAAATCCACGCCGCCCTTCTCCGCCTCGGCCTCCACGGCAGCAACTT